CCCCCCCATTCAGTGCCCGCCAACCGGGACTCGGCCCCGGGCTCCTGGGCCGCGCGCTCCGGAGCCTTCCCGGGGCCGGGCTTTGAAGAAGTGCCCAGGGGCAGGTGCACGAGCGGCCGCGTGAGCGCTGCTGGGCGCGCAGGGACCGCACCTCCAGGCGTCGAACTAGGCGTTTGCGAGCCCAACCCCAGCGCGCCCCGCTGGCCCGGGGCCGCTTTGCGCGCGCAGTTCTGCGGCTGCTGGCTCAGCAACTCAGACGCCGCGCGGCCCGGCGCAGTGGATCTCCGGGACTTCTGACAGCATTACGGGATGGACCGTCCCCGAAAGACACGGCGCTGCTGCTGAACAGAGCGCGGCACAAAGACGTACCGTGGGCAGGGGACATCCCTGATGAGCAAGGACAGCCTGGCCAAAATGGGAACTAGGGTGGATGAAGCCAACCACCCTGGGAAAGAGCCTCTTAACAACGTCCCTGTCCCACTTCGAGTGACACACCACTTATTATAAGGGACGCCACCATGCATTGAAAGGGGATCCCCTTGTGCGGCCTTTTAATCAAACAGAACTGGGGCTCACTCCCTCATTACCACCTGCCGGGCTGCACAGGAAGGAGGGAGCCAGCTCAGCCCTAGAGAAACGCAAGGCCAGTGGGAGGAAAGCAGTCAGAGCTGATGGGCACAGGGGGATGTGGCGGTCAGTGGTTGAATTGCACCCTGCTGAGACCAAAAGAAACTATGTCTCACATCCAGGGAGCCCCGTAGGCCCCAGAGAAGGAGAAAGGAGTCTCACATAGCTTGGAGCAGGAAGGGCAAGATAAGGGGGAGCCCGAGACCAGGGAAATGCTGCCCTTGTATGGCCTGGTTAAGAAAATAGAACCTGGGCAACTTGGTTTCTGACTGTTCCTATGGGAGAGAAAAGGGGCCTCCAGAAGGCCAAAAGAAATTGACAGTGGAGTGAAGAGGGAGGCTCATCAGGTGGAAGAGGAGACACACCAGACATAGGGGACTAGGCCCTTTCCTTGTTTACCTGCCCTAGCTCCACTGAAGTCAGTTTACACCAGCTGAGGAGCTGTCTCGGGGATCCTGCAAGATGAAGGAAAAGTATCTCCTGGAAGACAAGAGTCAGGCGCTCTGTAGAGAGCAAAATATTTAACCACCTCCACGCAGACCGGCTTGATCCTATCTCACTTCAGCACCCCCAGACAAATGAATGAA